TTACACGTTGGCATACCCACGTCACCTGTTCCAGTTAAGTTAACGTGACACGTGAGCAAAAATTAACGGAAGGACCAAAAAGGGGCCGGATTTATGAACAGTAAGGACCAAAAAGGGAATTTTCTCGGTACAGGGACCAAAAGGGGGCTTTTTCCTATAGTAGAGGGACCAAAAAGGGTATTTAACCTTTTTTTTTTTATCAGCAAAGCATCAAACGAAATATATTAGCAAAGGAGCATAAGAAATACTCCCAAAATACAATACAGCCCGGGGAACTCCAGATACAAACCAAAAAGCTACAATAATTACGAACTCAAAAACTCTGAAAAAACCTTCAGGAAAACAACAGGAGAAGATACAAACTAAGCCGGATTCTGCAGCTTATGCCAACCTAAAAACCCAAACAATCAGGGCTCATACGGCAGGCGTAAATAGCAGATTGAGAACCTCCCCCCATTATTTAGGTGGCGCAACAGCCTTAGAGAATTGCTTCCTCATCCTTTTATGCCGTTTGACAGCCTTTGCACACTCCGTCGAACAAGATTGCCATTCATGAAAGGAAAAGACACAGCCATTCACTTTAGCCTTTAACCATAGAAAGGTTTTTACTTGCACCCTTTCCAGCAGTTTTTTTGGTATTCCTTCATCTTCTCGAAATACTTGAGCATTCCTTCTATACCATACATACCAAGCAACCACCAGAAATATACAGGAACCCATCTCCTTTCCTACTATTCTTCCCAACTCATATATGAAAAATTCTGCCACTCCCACCACTGTATTGGGCAGAACACTCTCCAACCCCCAGCAATTCAACACCTTTACCCAAACTAACCACATTTTATAACATATACAAAATAAATGGTTAGCCTCCTCCACTATCCCATTACAGAACTCACAGAAAATACCTTCCTCCTGCAGCTGCACCCCTCGCTTGTAAAGATTTTCCTTTGTTGGAAGCCTGTTTAAGCACAATCGCCACCCAAAAAAAGCCACTTTGGATGGCACCAACCTGCACCATATGAATTTACATATCTGGTCCTCTAAAACACTTTCCATAGAATCTAAAAAGTCATAGGCTGTCTTTACAACATATTTGCCATCCATCTCATGCCTCCACTTCCACACATCCCGAACCCCCTCCTTTAGTTGGACACCCTCCAATGCCTTTTCCAGCACCACCTCCTCATCCTTCTCACGCCCTATAGTACCTCTCCTCCACTCAACCCGCCAACCCCATCTACCCTCATCCCAGTTTCCCATTTCCGAGACCTTTCCCTCCTTCTTTACGGCTAGAGCATACAATCTTGGACATAAATCCCTAAGAGTTTTATCACCAACCCACCTCTCTTGCCAAAAGTCCACCTTATTTCCCTCACCCACTTCCCACTTGAAACCCTCTACCAACATATTCCTAAGTCTCAAAGATTGACCCCCTATTTTAATAATATCCCTCCACAGCTTTGACACCCTCGAATACTCAACCGCTGTAATATCAACCTCGCTCCTACCTCCATAATATTTTTCCCTCACCACCCTTTTCCATAAGTTCTCAACCCCATCACCAAACCTATACCACCACTTTCCTAACAATGCCCAATTTTTCCTAAGCAGATCTGGTACCCCTAAGCCCCCCTTTGCCTTATCATGACAAACATAGTCCCACTTCACCCATGAAATTTTTTTA